CCACCCCCCACCCCCCCACTTATTGTCTTCTGGTGCATGTGGTTCACTTTGGTCTAGAACTGATTTGAGATGAAAGTTTTGATTTTTCATAAGAATCTCCATCTCCTTCCATAGAAGCAAAATATGTATTACAAAGTTCCCTCATTCCCATTTTTATGTCACAGTCACTTTACCTTTTCGTAAATTTAATTTCTTTGATTATGACATTCACAAACATTTTGCAGTATCTACAAACAAATATTTGGGTCTTTGTCATGCCTCACCCAGTCATTCGGAGGGTGGTGAAGTCAACATTTTAGCCTTATTTATTGTGGCAGTAATTAATTAGAGTGGTGAAGTCAACATTTTAGCCTAAAAGTATTGTTTAACCACTCTTCAACACCTCAAAGGGATAGTCCAATGCACTTAGCTCCGGCAATGCAAGGGAGCCCGGGAAGGGCCATACCACGTTGGGTCTATTGTGCGCAACTTTACTTAACAATCTTGAATTTCTACAAGAGGTTGTTTCCACAGCTGAACCTGTCACTTTTTGGTCACACTGCGACACCTCTTGCTGTTGCAACTATGCTCCCTTCAGTCCTCAACACCTAAAAAATTAAAATATGCTTTCTTTGTGTAATATACTACAAATGACTGCATTTCTTTTTTGGCTTTGTCTTTTCCAAGTAAAGGTTGGAGAATGTGAAGAGTGTCTCAAATAATAGTAAAGGACATATCAGAATTTCTCAATTTATTTTGAGGTCAATTACTATAGTTGGAGACTTGGGATAAGGGAAAACGCAACCATTTCGTATGCTGGTCTCATAACATGGAACATGTTGCAGGCTTCTGATAAATATAAGTTCTCTAACGGCAAAAGGGAGAAATAAAAAGAAGAGTAAACTCACCCAGGTTTGGTCTTCAATCTGGTGGACACAACTCGAGAATAACTATCCAAGTTCGTGTAAATATAAAGATTGAGGGACATAAAATTAACTGCATCCCTCTAGATACAACAACTCTGCTATCCTATAATCTTCAAACTTGTAGTGCAATAAAGAGGAGTGGAAGTTCAAATTTCTTGTTGTTGTGACTTTGCCTTTGGAATTATATGTCTATGTTGCAGGTTAATAATTTGAAGGTGCAACTCTTTAAAAAGTTAGAAGAGTTCCTTGTGGACCTTCATCTAGAATCTCAGGAAATAAGACATTCTTCATCAGACCTTGGGGGGATTCCGTTATCGCCTTCTTCTTGTGCTCATGAGGTATGTCAAAGCAATATAATTAATATGCTTGGAATTTTTCCACTTTAAACCTATCAAAAGAAAAAGGGAAGGAATGCAAGATTAAGAGTGCATTTAGTACTTAAAAAAGAACTTCTAACCATCTATAAACAATTAATAAACTTCATCTGGCATGACCTTCACATTTGTATGAAAGAGAATATACGTCACTAAGAGAGGTGGCATCTGCTCATGCCGGTATCACATAAAAAAGAAATGGTGATTTTCTGTCAGTGGGTGGCAATACCAAAGAAAACAGATATGATAGCTTAAATATGCTTCTGCCAAACTTTGGAGTATCACTTATTTTTCTCCTTTCCAGTTCTCGAACTGTACTTGATAAATTGTCCTCTTTACAAATTTAGGCTTCTATTCGTGAATTTGCTGAGGCTGTCCGCGCTTACCGAGTTATTTTCCCTGATTCCGAACAACAGCTCTTTAGACTTGCAAAAACCTTAGCTACAAAGTATGGGTGCACTTCTTTTTTCCTCCTCTTCGCTTCATGGCTGAACTTGATCTTGCTTTCTGGATATTATTTGTGCATTAATTTCTAAACCTGATCAGTATAACAGAGCACCTCTGTTGAAAACTTTAGGCACTTTGAAGCCACACAACAGTACATCAAGAAGCAGCTTGCCTCAGCAGACCTTGTTGGCATGTTGCGTAAGTTCCACTCGCCATTACTTCCATCGTCACATTTAGTGTTGATCTTTACTTTGTTTTCTAAGTTAGGTGCTTCTCTTTCGCCTTTCTCCAGGGATTCATAGCCATCATTATCTTTCACCATCTGCCATCTGCTATTTTTGTAGCACTTGACAAAAACACATTAGTTCAACTCGCTCTATGCTTGGTTAGGTTTAGCATCTAGGACAGCGGGCTGAAGGTTTTAAATTCTCTATGTGCTTTGCTTTTTGTCAAAACGAACTGTTGTTGCTTCTCTCATATGACCATAAATGATACTGCCTTACAGGCCATCTTACCATCTTCCAACTTGCAAGGCAGCTCAGTCCTATTTGACTTGTACTTGTTATTATTGTTCTATCTTTGGCAAAATCCTGTCCACTTGTCATTTCAGAAGGAGAATGATGCTTATGCAAGCTTTGTCTCAAGAGCACTTTTGGAAATGTTGATCCATACATGGCTGAAACGCAATGTCTCTAGGGAGGATACTGTCTTCTTTTCTTGGTTAATTTCATGCAAGGTTGCTAAACTTTATATGTTGTATTAGTAAAGTCACAAAACTATTTTTTGTCTCATTAAAGTCACTGAACAATGTGTTAGTTGCGCAGAAAATACAATTCATTGAAGTATTTTTTGTGACTTTACTAATACAACAGGTAAAACTTAGTGACCATGTGTGATATTACCTGGGGTTTGGTTCGGAAATATTATGATATGCTAATGCAGAAGGACAATAAGAGAAGCTAATACCAAGAGGAACACACGCTCATATTTTGAAGAATTGTGATTCTCCTTTCTAGTTGATACTTTCTATGTTTCACACTTGGTTTTGAGGATCATTTAGGCCTTGATTAACTCTTGATTCTTTTAGTTGGTTTTATCTTATGTAAGTATTTAGCTTTTTAATTGTCACAAAAAACTTTCTAGTGATATGCTACTGTAACCTAGCTATTAGTTTTGTCGAAGGTGTGCTTGAACCCCAAAGTGAGGTGCAAGGCATGCTACAGTATGCGTCTCACCAAACCCTGTCAATGACTACTTTTTTTGAAAGGTCAAAGTTTTATCAGGCTCATGATCACGAAGAGACAGCACTAAACAATAAATTTAGCCAAGAAAGCAAGTTTTTGATTGATTAGGAACGTTGTGATGAATATGATTGTAATTACTAAATTAGGTATATGTAATACAAACTTTAGTACAAGAAAATCAGTCCACAAATCTTTATTTA